CCATTTGTTATCGGTCGAAGACACCACTTGACCAAGATTTTCTTTCCCTAAATCTTCTTATTTCTCTTTCATTTTTCCTTCCCTAAATTTTTAGGGGTCTTGGCCGAAATTTTTGACCATAAAAAGAGAGGAAAAGCAGGCAAAGCAAAGGAAAAAAAATGAATGATGGATTGCCAAGTGTTGGCTATCAAGACATTCTTTGACTAAGACCACCTCTAGTCTTTATCAAATTTCAGCAATAATTCTTCATTCTTGCACCTTCTTGGCCGAGAGAGGAAAACAAGAAAAGAGAGAAAAACTTCTTTAACTTCACCTTGATTCCAAGCTAGAAGTAGTAGGAAATCAACCTCAAACCTTAAACCAATCCATGGAAGGGAGCAACAAGGAAGGAAGAGACTTTTGTGTGATGTGATTTTTGGGAAGAAAGCTGTAGGCTACTAGTCTCTTCTTTGTGAATCCTGCCTTCATGTGTGGTATTGATGTGAATCCCATTAAATTATCCTATGACTTGGAGGTTAAAACACCCACTGGGGATCAAAGTTTAATTACCAACATGGTTTATAAAAATTGTGAGATTTGGGTAGGAGAACGGAAGTTGGTGGTAGACTTGATAAGTTTAGACCTCAAGGGGTATGACATGATTATAGGCATGGATTGGTGGGCCCGTTATAATGCTCAGTTAAACTGCAAGACTAAGGTGGTGGAGTTTTGCATACCCGGAGAAACGACTCTAAGATTGGATGTGCGAGGTAGACTAGTCTCATCTGCACTTGTTTCGAGAATTCGAGCCAGGAAATTATTGAATAAAGGAGCGCAGGGTTACTTAGCTTTCTTGATTAATACTCCTAGAGATAAGATGAAACTGAAGGATGTGTTAGTGGTAAATAAATTTTTCGATGTTTTCCCTGACGAGTTGAAGTCGATGTCGCTAGAGAGGGAAATAGAATTTAAAATTGATTTGGTGCCTGGAACCACTCCTATTGCGAAAACACTATATCAAATGGCCCCCGCCAAACTTAAGGAACTAAAATTGCAGTTACAAAATTTGTTACGGCGTGGGTTTATTCGAGAGAGTGAATCACCTTGGGGAGCGCCTGTTCTATTTGTTAAAAAGAATGATAGTTTTGCAGACCTTGAGCGAACATCAGTTATATGCCAAGTTTAGCAAGTGTGAGTTTTGGTTGGAGCAAATTTCTTTTCTAGGACATATATGTGAGGATCCAAAAAAAATTTACTTATTTTAAACTCATATTACTGGCTTATTTAAATAATTAATTACCCATTTTCTCCGAATAATTTATTTCAACCCTTTTAAAACCATTTACATGGAACTATGACTTGCATATATTTTTAAAATGTCCCGTTAATAAATTTAATTTTTGGAAGCTCGTTTAGCGAGATTTAGTGAATACGCGTTTGGAGGCAATAGTCGATTTGAGAGTACAGTGACCTTGGAGACTTGAGGACTCATGTGTTAGTCTTAAAATAGGTATTTTTATGATCAATTACCCTAGTATTAGTTAGTTATATCATCGTTACAAGAATTTCTTAGAAATTGTGCTTTATCACGCACTAGTCGGAAGTTCGTGTTCTCACGCGCGTGACTAATTGAAGGACTTTAGAAAATTATTGTTAGACTACTAAGAGTGAATAATAATAGTGTTAAAGGAAGTGCATTAGAGGTTTAGTACACAAGTGAAATGAACCCGAGAGAAAACGGGCACGAAACGCGCGTTCAAAGTTGACTTTTGTGCCAAACTTAAACCACCAACTACCAAACTTCCAAGAGAAGCTTCACCATCAGCCTTTACACTCTCTCTCTTCACTCCATTGGTGGCCAAAAATCCAAGGAGGAAGAAGGAGCAAAGTTCATCTCATTTCACTTCAAATTCACCACACAACTTCCACTTGGACTTGGAGATTCACTTCCAAGAGAAGATTCCACTTCACTCCAAAAATCACTTGATTTGGTTGAGGAAAAAATCGAGTTTTGGTAGGAACAAAACTGGAAAATCGTATAACAGGAGCTCTCTGGCAGTAAACTTTTAACGATCATAACTCTTTGCTCAGATGTCGAAATCAAGTGCCGTTAGTGGCATTTGATAGACATCTGTAGTTTTCTAACTGTGATGCCCCCACTTCTCCCTAAGGCGAACCAAAGGGTATCTGCGGGACGCCTGCCCAACTCTCGCCAGGACTCGATACAATCCACAATTCAAGACTAGGAATACTTCAAATAACTTCAATACAGAACTAAAGTACTCCAAAATATCTCACACTTACAATTATGTAGCTTTCAAGCTTAAATACAACCCAACGGAAAAGGGTACAATAGCCATCCGTTATAATATAACTTGAAGTCTTCAAAAGAAAACAATCTAGTATTACTCACGAGCACCCTTGGTCTCGAACCCTATAAAAGAAAACCACAACGTGGGATGAGCTACACAGCCCAGTGAGGTTCCAAGACACTCTAACAGTTCAAATAAATCAAATAAGTTGGGCATATCATATGCATGGTTCAAGGTTACACAATGGCATGTTATCATGAGGTGATAATCATTATACGGGTAATTTGAGACATTCATCATAAGACAGTTATCATGGTTCAAGACATTGGCATGTATAGTTCACGAGTGATTGGAGCTTATTACAGGTGCGAGTAATTAAGCATGTTACAGGTATGGAGCATTAACATGAAACATGTATCATGATATGAGTACATTGGACAGGTAACAGGTATGGAGCATATCACAGGCATGGCTCAGGATTTCATGTTGACATTTTAACATGAAACAATTATCATGATACAAGGTAAACATATACTGTAGGATACGGTGTTCCAGTGGAACTCTGTCGGTCATCTGCACCTTATGACTTCCGGATCCCCTCGGTTTGACTGGCCATCACCTTATCCCTCCAATGGTAATACTCGAGCATACCGAAACGGTGGCCCAGGGTTCCAACCTACCCGACCGAGCCCAGTCCTGGCTCGAGTAGGTCAGTAACCAAGGGCAGGGCCCAAGTTCAGCTTAGAGCTTACAACATGCGCAGGTAACCAAGTAATTCGATAAAAGGTAAAATTTATCATTTGAGTAGGTCGAGTGAGGTAAAGTACACACTCGCCTAACAATGATGAACAGCTTCATATAACATGTGATTCATGATAATCAAGTAATCAAGTGGATACTTAGCACGTAAGCACGTAAGCACGTAAGCAATACAAGTTGATTTCATGGAAGCATGTAATTCACGGATATCGAATAGTCACGTAGATTGGAAATCATGTGAGCAAATAGTCAAGTAATCAGGTAGTCATGTGGGTTGGTAAACGGTTAACGGTTAACGATTGAGTAGTGACGGTTATTTGACAGGCATTTGCCATATTGATAGGCCATCATTGGCCGTTATCCCGTTTTTACCATGTGAGAGTCGAGGAAATTCACTCCAACGACGTATGCAACCATAGCATACCAAGTCATGTTATTCAAGCATTTCCAAACATGAGTTATTCATCTCAAAAGAGAACAAGTGTGATAAAGTACACACTCGACCCCATTTTTCAAAACCAAGTAGGCTAAGCAAGCAATCTAGTAAGTTAAGCATGAATCGAGTTCATATGGTCCTTTGATATGGTTAATCATTTAACCAATTCATGTCGATATGCAATGCAAGTATACATTATTTATATAGGCATGAGTATGGTAAATACTTAACACATAGTACCTAACACTTAATAATCATGAAATGAGCATGTCCTAGACTTATTCAATTACGTATTCCTATATGGAGCACTCACCTAATCCAAAATAAGCGAGTGGTTCTCAACAACCGTTTAGGCGTCCGCTCCGAGTTCCTCTTGGAGATCCCCTCGAGTGCCTGAGCAAACAATAATCAACTACCACTCAATATCACTACGAATCTTTAATTATCGAGGAAGATTGTACGCTAGTGCAATCTAAGGAAATCTTATGAAAATGAACCTCAATTACTCGTAAATCGAGGTTCAAGTGGAGTTTCTTAAAGTACATGAGCAATCGAGTTTTCATTTTGGAAATTAAGTATAAAATGTTCAAGTAATATCGAAAGAATAAGGAGTACTTGAAAACTCCCTTCCCTTGGAATTCAGAAAATTTTCAGGTTTGATACGATACTTTGAAAAATTGTATCTCACACTACAAAAAAAAATATTTCTAGTGACAACAATCTTTGTCAAGAAAAGTTGCGTATGTTGTTAGGAAAAGTTTTCGTGACGCTCATGTCGTCAGAGAAGATTGGTCACCTATACGCCGTCGGCAAAAGGTTTTCCTGACAACTAGTGGATTTCTCGTCAGGAAAAGTTCCATTTTCTGTGACGTGTCATCAAGAAAGGTAATCGTGACGATTCGGTCGTCAGGAAAAGTCCTCATATTCTTGACGAACCTTTGTCAGGAAAGACCCTGAACTTTGTCACTAAATTTTCGATTGTCAAGAAAAGTCATGCATTGAAACTTGCTGGACGTACTTTAATGACAATTCAATGTCATTTTTCCTGACGACAGCTGCATCACTATAATATATTAGTTTCTAATTTCACCATGTAGCATTTTTAAGCCTAGCAATTTTAGTGACAACAAAGTAATAATATCATCTACTAAAACACTCCACCCAATCAAAATATAAAAGTATGCAAGCAAAATATCAACCAAAACTTCACAAATTTCATTAGTAGGCAACCATAATATGTCAAACCACAAAAGTTAACCATGTCAAACATGAACATATCATTACATTCCATGATTTGAAACCAATATAAATATTGCTATTTCTCCCTAGATAACTGCCATATACCTAACATGTGCTAAAATCAAAAGATGGACTTCAATTCCATGGTCAACAAAATACTAGAGATGGATGATATCAAAATAGAGGAATTCTTCAGTATGAGCTAAAAGCAGTCCAAAAGCCAAAAGCAGTCCATAATGTTGAGTTTATCCCAAACTCAAAAGCCAAAAGTCAAAAGCAGTCCCAAACGTTCATCCCAAACCTGTACAATAAAACCAAGAAAAATCTGCAATCAGAGAAACAATAGAATGTCATGGAAAAGATGTATTTTTGTTATGATGCATGGATGATCACTACAAATTGCTTAGGGACCACCTAATCATGAGGACAAGCAATACAAGAATAATTACTATGCTGAAGTAACCAAGTTGTTCCACAATAGTAAGTAACTGCACATAAATGCATTTGTTTCGAATAAAGATCTACAAACTCACCATTACTAGGAAGAACCTCCACACTGCTTCTGTTTCCAAATGAGGAATTCTTGCAGCATTTCTTGTATCCCTTGCTGGCTTTGTACAAGATTTTGGATTTGGGTATCTTGTGCTTGAATTCGCTCCTCATAGCATTGAAGCTTCTCCTTGCACTGTTTTAGTTCTTCAAGTAGTGCTCTATTAGCTGAAGATTCGGGTTTGCGAGAAGATTGGGGTGGTATGACCCCCATACCCAACCCTTTGGCACGACCAGCCCTCTTTCCTAGGACATTTTCCATAATTTTAACTTCATTGACAATTTCTCCATTCTCGATGCATTGCCTTCTCTCTTCTTTTAACTCATCCTGTACATATTAGATTCACATAACTCAAAGAGTCATTAAATGTATAATATATATGTAAATGTCATGTTACTAATAAAAAACAAAGTTCTAGAATCAGCCGACTATAGTGAAAATTACATCGAGAGATTTTGCAGTATTATTCACAAATTGGCCATCCTTTTTTATGTGAGCAGCAGTCCAGGCATCAATTGCACTTGGTGGAACCTATTTTATAGCATAAAAGATCACGAGTTAGCTCTAGTTTTCTTCCTAGTATAAATATAAGCCAAAATGGAAATAAAAAATCAGTAATATACCATCTCTTGTGCTCGAACATGATTTGATTTTGAACCGCCAGTGTGCGGATAGGGTAACATGGCACGGTTCTTTGTATTGGCTTCTGATTTTTTCTATTAAATACCAAAAAGATAGTTAGACAAAACATAAAAGGCAACAAAAGAATTAAGATCATGCAAGTAAACAAAACTAGAACCAATCACCTTGAATATAGGATCTTCGAACCAATCACACATACTTTTCCACTCATCTTGCTCAATCCAGTCATAAGGACATGAGGTAAGTGGATCTTTTCCAGCTGCCTTCAACATCTTATAATCTATGTGAATAGTATTCCTCCACTGCCTATAGCTATTCTGAAGCATGTCATCCACATACTTTTCCACATTAGGATCAGTTTCCCAATCTTTGAAGTCAAACCATCCCTATAAATTACCATTAAGAAATAGATCATTTTTAGAATTGGTCAAGTCAGCAAAATAAATATTAACACTCTAAATGTCATTATAAAAGACAACGGTGTAATCTGGTACCATCAAGCCACCATATAGGTTCTGTTTTATCTCATTTGGTATGTCATCATGTGTGCGTATGTCCTTCAGTGAAGAGAGGTGCCTTACAACATAACCTATACCACTAGCAAGTTGAGCAGCATACTTGATTGGTTTGCAACATCCTTCAGGAAAGACAATTTCCAATGGCTTGCCTCCCTAATATTAACAAATGAAACATCATTCAGGTATACCACTAGACAGTAATATTACATATGTACACATCTTAGTACTGAATGGCATTTACATTAGCTCGTATCATCTTCTCGATAACTTTTCCCGTGGTTGGGCCCCTGCCTTTTTTTTGCTTTCTTTGTTCTGAGAACAATTGTTAAACATTCTAGTTGATGCTTATTATGAATTATCACAAAAAGGATGCATACATTGAATGGTAATAAGTAAATCATTATTCAGCATTTTCACTTACCATTCGCCAATGCTTGAGTAGGATTACTATTATTTGAATTAATCTGGATATCATCCCCTGTGGTAGCTGATTGATGCTCCAAAGTTGAGTTTGAAGTTGGTGGTTGTTCAGATTGCAAGTTGGTATTGGGTGGGCCGTTTCTCTTCAACCGTTTCCCGGAAGGTGCCATCTGCAATAACAAAGTATATGATAAAAAAGGAGTCAAATTAGTAAAATTTTGATGTCAAATTATAAACAGAGATCAAAATTTAAGTTATACCAAAAACTTAACAAAGAGTTAAAACAATGAAAAAGATATCAATTTGATCAATATTGGGTAAAACCACAAAAAGTAACACTTTCTTCTACAATGCCAAAAACCTTTTCACTTGACACTTCTATGCTATTTCTTAAGCACTATCTAAATCTATATCCATGTCAATGGTTTCATCACTATCAGAAGATTCAATAAGCATGCCATCTTCTTTAAAAACATTGTCTTCTTCACCATACTCTTTTTCATCAGTGGAAGTATGCAAAGGATTCTCCAGAACAACTTCAATTTCAACACCTTGTCTGCTTAAGAGGCCTAGTTCATCATCTTCGACAATAGGCAGAACAGTTCTTGTTTCATTTTGCTGCAATAATTCATCTAAAAAACTTGTATCTGCATTGAGCACATCTCCATCGTTCTCTTCCAAATCTGGTAGGTTCCACAAATGCCTATGTTGAACACGTTGTACAATTCGCCAATGTCTCCCCAACTTTGTATCACCAATATAGAAGACTTGCTGGACTTGATTTGGTAAAACAAATGGATCATTTTGATACCAACGTGATCTAATATCGATGGTCACAAAGTGCCTATCACTCTTTATTGTGTTTGTGCTACCTGTGTTATACCATTCACATTGAAGCAAGACTACCTTGTATGCATGAAAAAAGGTCAGCTCAACCACAGCCTTAACAAAGCCATAAAAGTCAATGTGTTTTCCTTTATGGTCACCCTCAACAACTAAGCCACTATTCTGTGTTGTACGGCAATCATCCCGATCTCTTGTGTGGAAACAAACTTCATTTACAATGCATCCTGAGTAATGCTTTGTCATGAAAGGTATAGGACCATTTGCTAATGCCCACAGCTCTTCAGAAACATCCAATGATTTATCAATGTGTAACTGATTTATCTATAAAATAGAAAACGAGTCTCTATTAGTCAGTTTTCAGTAACTAATAAACTTATTTTAATAATATGTATAACTTACATGATCTTTGAACCACTCTGTGAATTGATCTTCATGTCTGCTATCAACATTTTCAGGATGAATCCTTTGCAGCATCTCTTTATGCTTACTGAAATTCAGATTGTATTACCAATATAAAGTAAAATAAACCACAAGAAGTAATAACGAAAATATAAAATTGAAATACATATTGCACTTACATTCTGTACTCTGCTATTTCATCACAGTTATTCAATATAAATTTATGAGCCACATCTAGTTCAACTTGAGATAATTTAGTAGGAGGTGTAACAAGTCCAAATGGGCGAACACTTAGTGAGAAAACCACCAGCTCCTCTGCCTTATCCTGATTATAGTCATAGTTGCGTCTCTTGCGGGTGAATTTTGTTTCAATGCCATGGAGATATTTGGACATGAATGTTAGGCACTCATTTGCAATATATCCTTCTGCAATCGAGCCTTCAGGACGAGCACGATTACGGACATACTTTTTAAGGGATCCAAGATACCTTTTCAAAAGCATGAGTTAATTTTCTATCCAAAACAGAATGTTAAGTAAAATAACAAAATTTGTAGTCAAACAAATAAGGAAGAAGTACCTTTCAAATGGAAACATCCACCTAGGATGTACTGGCCCACCAAGTTTTGCTTCCTTTGGCAAGTGAACAATCAAATGGATCATAATGTCAAAGAAGGCAGGAGGAAAGATTTTTTCCAACTTACATAATATTAACGGAGCATTTTTCTCCAACCTTTCCAAGTCATCCATCTTAAGGGTTTTAGAACACAAATCTCGAAAAAACTCACTTAACTCAAAAGTTGCCTCATTGACTTCTTTGCACAAATACCCACGAATGCCCGCTGGAATAAGTCGTTGCAAGAGGACATGGTAGTCATGTGTTTTAAGTCCCATCAGTTTACCATCTTTAACACACTTGGAAATGTTGGCAGCATACCCATCAGGAAACTTAATTGACCTCAAAAAATCACAAAATCCTTTTCTCTCACTTGAAGACATCACATACAAGGCTGGAGGCTTTGTTTTCCTTGTACCATCATCATGTAAGTGTAGTTCGTGCCTTATTCCCATGTCAAGTAGATCATCACGAGTTTTATTAGTATCTTTTGTCTTATCAGGAATGTTCAACAATGTTGCTACTAAACTTTCACATGTATTTTTAAGGATATGCATCACATCCAGACAATGTCTCATGGAGAGTTTTTCCCAATATGGTGACTCAAAAAATATACTTTTTTTCCTCCAATTACCCTGAATTTTATCAACTCCTTTTTTCCGAGTAACTGGGTTCTTACCAAACTCACCAAAGACACCAGCCAAGGAATTTAAATGTCTTAAAACCTGTTCTCCAGAAAATTCCTTTGGCCTGGAGCGTGTTTCAATAGTTCCATCAAAATGAGCTTTTTGTTTTCGCCAACGGTGGTCATGGTTCAAAAAGCGACGATGTCCCATGAAACATATTTTGCCTCTTAGTCTTTGTGAAGCAGTATCATCAAGACAACATGGACATGCTTTATACCCACTGGTGCTCCATCCAGACAAATAGCCATATGCAGGGAAATCTGATATAGTCCATAAAATTGCTGCACGCATTTGAAAGTTTTGTCCACTATATGCATCATAAGTGCTGATTCCATGAAATAAATCTTTCAAATCATCTATTGCTGGCCTTAAGAACACATCTAACTCCTTTCCAGGGGCACGTAGACCAGGAATAAGAAGTGATAGTATAAGAAATTCCTTTCTCATAAACTTATATGCAGGCAAATTGTAAGGTACAAGAATAACTGGCCACATGCTATATGAGTTGCTTGTGAGGCCCCAGTTCGTACTACGTTGATATATTCATTAATTTGGCGGTAACGTTTGGTTTTGGGAGTATTTCGAAAACCCTAAGTAGGAATTACGATTTAAACCCTAAGTTCCGGTTAAGATTGAAAACCCGTTTTTTTCTACATTTTCTTTATTAGAAAATTCCCCAGATAATTTTTATGAGTAAATATAGTTTTTAGATGATTTTTCTAGTATTAGTTAGTTTTTGAGAAATTAAGAACGTATATCGGACGTGGGACCCACTAGTGCGAAAAGTTCGGAAAAATTCGGCCAGTTAGGTTAAATTCCGGATACTGTGTAAAATTTATCGGGTGTTAAGAGATAAGTAGAGAGTGAGATATGATTGATGTGAGAGAGAAAAGAAAGGATAGGAATGCATTAATGGTGGTGACAAGTGTCACCATTTCATTGGAGAAGACTTAAGAATTACTATTCACTTTCTTGACTTTTTTGACCAAAAGATTAAATATCCAAAAATTGCTCAAAAATCACCATTTTCTTCCTTGTGTTGGCCGGCCCTTTCTCTCTCAAAGAAGAAGGAAATTCTTCAACTTTCAAGCTTCCAATTGGACCAAAATCCACGAAATCAAGAGTTTAAGTTAGTTTTACTCCATACAATCTTTCCTTTTGGTGATATTGGTTGGTTTATTGAAGCTTTTTGGAAGAGCTAAGGTGTCCATCATCTTCCTCTCTCTTGTTATTAGGTGAGTGATGCTTCAACCTTTCCCCTACACCTAATGATGGTTATATTATGCTTAGAAGTGGCTTGAGTGTTGGAAAATGTGATTTATTTCTTGATTTGAAGAGTTTTGGTGAAGTTTTCCATTTTATGATGAATTTTCTGGTTTCATATGATTTTGATGTTTTGGACTAGTATGATGGTTGGTAATAAGGGGCTTTGGCTCTAGTAGGTGTGGATTGTTGTTAAATGCAACCAATTTTGGAATTGGAATGAAATGTGAAAAGTTAGGGTTCTTGAACCCCTATTCTGTCCGAAATTTTAGGTCATAGCTAGAGGCCGAATTGGACTTTGCTCAAAACATGAAAGTTGTAGGTATTGATGAGTTTAGTGTGCCTACAAAATTTCAGGGCAATTGGACTAGTGTAGAGTGAGTTATGCCGTTTTTACTGTTGCTGTTTTTGGTGCACAGAATGTCCGAACTGCGATAGTAATTGCCTGTTTTGACTGGAATTGGTTTGGATTTTGAAGTTGATGTCTTCTGAGGAAATGTATCTGGATGTCTTAGCTAACTTATGCCTTTGGAATTTCGGCATTTTGACCTGTGTAGGCTGAGATTGACGTATTACAGTT